GTCCCTTTAGTGATATCTCGGGCTGCTTCGTCACATAGTGTGGCGCTCTGACGGATCCAAGGGTGGTCCTGACCGCATGTATGAGGGCAGCTCCATACGCGGTGGGCCATCGTCTCTTTCTGGCCTGTCGCGCACCTGGCACAGACTCCATCACACTCGTAGCCTTCAGCACGGCAACGATCTTCGGTCCAAATGGCATTGCAAATAACTGCTTCTAGCGCACCAGCTTCACGATGTGACTCTGTGCGTCTCATTCTCTGCAGGGTTCTGCTTGCTGTCGTGGGGTCTGGCGTAGAACTCCAGCCTCCTCCGTGGCGATCTCTGGCCGCCTGCTGCCACAGCTCTTTGATGACGTCCGCCGTGATGGTCGCCATGAGTTGGGTGGTGTCTTCATCTTCGAGAGTGCCGTCTGGATGCTGAACGTCTGAAGGTGGCCACTCACCGCTTGCCTGCATCTTGTGCTGGTGTGGTTGTTGGGCCATCGTCCATTCATTTTCCTGCGCATCCGTCCACGTGTCTGGCTCAGGTAACTGCCATCCTAGTTCAGAAAGTCCCTGGATGAGAGCCGCCATCGGCCCTGTCACCACGTTCCAACGTCCTCTGGGTCGTGCCCGCTGGAGCCGCTGTACTGCAGCATGCCAACCTCCTCGTAGTTTGTCATGGTATTCTGGCCACCGCTTCCAAAGCTTAATCCATTCTGCTACTTGGCGGCGGAGCCCAACAGCTTTTGGGTCCCTCTCGAAGTAGTGCAGCAACATCACCATGGATGTACTCCTGCCGCCTGTCGTGTACCCAAGCATGTCTGCTGCTTCGGCTCTTGCTCGTCGCACCGCTGTTGGAGACTGGCCCACAGCAGGGACGTCGTATGATGACTTAGCACGGACGTTGACTAAGTTGAGCGTGGCCAGCTTCCGTCTACGCTTGCCTGCCCCTTTGAAGACCCTGGCTCGGCGTATTCGTGCTCTGGCCGCTTTGCGTCTCTCCGTAGCCGTCGTGGTTCGCCTCTTGCGTCCCCTCGCCATGTCGATGCCGAGGTCACGTGCGGACGATGCTCCTTTGACTGTTGCTCCTAGCTGCCAAACTGCTTGCGAGACTGCTTTTCAATACTTGGGTGGGATGCCATGACTGCCGACTTGTCCGACATCTCCAACTTGCTCTCAATGCATCCTTTGACCAGCTCGACCGCAACAGTGGTCAACTCATGCTTGACCTGCTTGTACGAGCCGTCAGACCTCGCCGTGACATCGTCCACGTACTGTCTGGGAAGCGCTCGGGGTACCTGATTGTGAGTTCGTTCCAAAACTTCGTATAAGAATGCCCTTGCACCATTATTTGCGTTGTTGCACCCTGGTACGATACTGTTCCCAGGGATTATCGGTGGAGCGAAAGCGCCTCCTGCTCTGATCGCTCGCGGAGCGAGGTATACCAGACAATTGAGGTAGAGCTCCACGAGGGGAAAATCAAGCTTCAACGCGCGATCTATCAAAATCGGGATGCTGATCGAATCGTAGAACTTCTTGATGTCTGAATAGATAGAGCCCCACGCTTGCGTCCCATCCCAGGCACTGCTTTCGTCCATGGCCATGCTGAAGAGAGCTGCCTGGAGGGCTGACGACTGGGCCACTGCTGCATCCCCAAATGCTGCGTTCTTGCTGCTCCACTCTGCCATAGTTGGTTGTCGGATCCGCCCCCAAATTCGTATTGGTAAAGGTATCAAGCCGATCGGCCTCTCGTCTCCTGCTTTCAAGTTGGATCCCTTGCGTAGAAGTTCGTACCAAATGTGTAACCATTGGTGCGGCCATGAAAGGCTTTGCTCACATCTGGTGAGCAAGTCGGCCAATTCCTCTTTGGCCTGGGGTGCCAACGTCTTCAGATGCTGCGCTTTCCACATGTCCGATCCTTGGCCTGAGGAATTGGGCGTCGTCCTGAGAGCTGCTTCCAATTGGTCCAAGGTGATGGGTTCACGCTCAGGAAGGTCTGCTTCAGCCCTTGAGCGCAGCCTCTCCATCTGTGCCTTGGTCTCGTTGTACTCGTCGTGCTTGGTCCATCTTGCTTTCCATTGTCTGGCTCTCGTTTCCACCGCACTTTGCAAGCTGGCAATAACTCCACTGCTGTCGGGGTCGATGCACAGCTCAGGGAGCGAGAGGGATTCGGGCCGCTTGAGATATCCATGAGCTCCCTTCATGTTGCCTTCCATGGCCTTCCTTGCCCAACGGTGAATACTCTGCTTCGCTTTCTGCCAGGCTCGCTTGCCGTGTCGCTCTGCACGCTGCGCCGCTTGAAGTACTGCTTCACTCCACAACTGATGGTCTGTGTCCAGCTCTGTCTTGCGAATACTATCCAAGGCCCAAGAGTCTTCTTTCTCATCTTGGCGTACACAATTGAGGCTGGACGGTGGCAGTGGTGGGTACTCCAATGATTCTATGTGCGTCAACTGGGATCTTACCATTCCTCGCAGTTGCTGCTGTCGAGTAGGGTTCTTTGAAACTGCCAATTGCCGTAAGAGAGATCCCATTTCCACCCAGCGGTCATGTCTGGCTTGTTCTGGTTCCTGCGTGCGTTGCTCTCGCCGAGGGGCTACTGGGACCAAGCGGTACTTCACTGGTCGTCCTCGAACCGTTTTAACTTGGTCTTCTCTGTTGCACAAGATGGCCAGGGTATGGTCTGCTGCTTGTGCCCATCTAGTGTACTGCTCGCCCAACTGCACGCTGTTTACTTCTGTTAATTGAAAAGCCAAGCTGTCCACCGTTGTTTTGTCTGGGCTGAATAATTCACCATGTTCTGTCTGCCTTCGAATATCTTGCCATACATCGTCCGAGACCGTAGCCAATACCTCTCTGGAGTACGTCGGTTCAAGGAGCTTGTCAATGTCTGCTCGTTTTTGTTGGAGACCTTGTTGTTCTTCCGACAAGTCTGTGTCATAGATTATGTCATCCAACTCTGGCATGTGCTCCGTAAGCTTCGCATGCTGCTCTCGGTCTCGTTGCTTCCTCTTGGTGCCCTTCTCGACATGCACCGTGATGTATGGTACTTGGTGCTGCTCTGCCCTTACAGGAGACAAGATCTGCAACTTGGCTGGCTTCCTGGCGATACGGATGTGCAGTCCGACATGCGGTCTCCACGGAACCTTCGTTACCGCCATGACCCCACCCAAGAACGGCCTGAATGATGGTGGGCAGATCACATAATCTAACATGCGGCCTCTGCCACTCGTACACGTCGCATCGATGTTCGGGCAAACTGGGGTGACTTGGAGCTTCTTCGCCCACGTGGACTGCATGAACTCCTCTGGGGTAACGTTCCAATCGCCCACTGCCATCCACGGTGTAGAGATACTAGCCGTCAACTGTGTCAGCTGCTTCATCTTCGCTGCATTGGGCCCTGCCAGGCCTGGTCCACTGTCGAGGTATACCACGAAGAGTGTGATACGTATTCCTCCCTTCAAATCCCAGTGCACCACCGCAATGTCATTCAACTCCTTCTCAAAGGCGCTGCTCCCCTTGACGGTGGGTAGGTGCACTGCAGTCTGGAGGTGCGAGCGACGTAACCAACAGGAAGAGGAGGAGGAGGAGGTGGAGGAGGACGAGGAGGAGGAGGAATTGTTGCTCACCGCGGGGCCCCCGGATGCCCCGACCCATTCACTTCCCAGGACCAGCTTGTCATCCTGAATCGCTGGTTTACGGTCCCGTTTCACAGCGAGGGCCCCCGGAGCCCGAAGCCAGCGACAACCCTTCGCGTCGTTGTTTCAAAACGCTCGAGGGTCAATTTGGGGGCCGTAGCCTGGACCTTCGACGGACGTTCGGGACGATCCGTGCACGCACCCTGGAAACCGCTCTCGGCGAGGCGCATCTTCTGGCAAGGATCCCGATGCAAGGAAACCTTCAGCAACCAACGAACACCCGCGATAAACTGGGGGAAGGATGGCAAGGATGAGGAGGAGGAGGAGGAGGAAGAAGAATAATAAGAAGAGCCATAGTGGAAGTCTGGGCTGTGGGGGACGATTGCGGGGGGATGCATCGCCGATAGATCGGCCATAAGCCCAGGACAGTGAAGACGCACGTTGGTGGCTAGGCTGGGGCCCCCCCTGGCACCCACATGCGAATAACGGGGGCACTTGAGGGTCGATGTATTCCCGCTGGGCCAGTTCCCAACGACAGCGATGGCAACGATAACAACAATACCGATCACAACGATAACAACATGAACAACGTTAAACACGATAATGATATTTGTCGTTGTGATCCGTATCGTTGTGATCGTTGTCGGTGTTGTCGTAGTCATGTTATCGTCATCGTTATCGCTGTTGTCACTGACGGTGAGCATGCTGGGTCTGCTCTGGCCCGATCGGCTACACGCAAGACTGACCCTGGGCAAGAGTGACCTTTAGTGTACGGCTTCAGGGGGCCGCGGGGAGGCCAAACCCAAGTGCGCCAGCCATTGAGGAGGGGTGTAGCGCGCGGAACTCCGCAAGATATGCTTTGAAATTATTTCTGGTGGAGAGCTTGGGGCCTCAGGTACCCGCAACAATTGGTCTGGGTAGGGCTCATCGGGGCGGGATTGGGCTGCGATCGCCGTAGCATGGGCGCGAGCATCAGCATGTTGCGGGTGGGGTCCAAAACCTCACACCATGCGAACGATCGTTACCGTTACCCCGAATGAGGGGAGCTCAGGCAACGACCGTTACGCGTCACAGGATATATCAAAACAGTATTTAAGTTCATGGTCATGCAGCTGCTTCATCGACTGATGGTCCTTCTCTGGCCGAGCTTGAGTGCCCCCTGAGCATCGCTGAATCGATCCCTATCCCAACTGGCAGGGCCTGGGCCCCACTGGCCGCCTTATTCCCACTTTAGAACGGGATACGAGATGGTTCCTTCGGGTCTCCACGCGCATATCCTCAACTGGGGTGGTGGGATGGTGGGAATCCGGATGGGCATGGGGCCAGGGACCGACTGAACGATACTGCCCACCCACCCCGTCGGCGCGAGCGTGCGAAGCGCCTCCTCGCGCAGCTGCGCCCGCACGCCGCCCACGTCCTGCGCCAGCGCCCTGCCCAGCCGGGCCTTCTCAGGGGCTGGCGCGCGGGGCCCCCCGATGGGAGGCCCAGCGAGCGCAGCAGCGAGGGTATGGATCGAACCCCGATGGCCGACAATCGTAGGTCAGGATATCGGATCGGGGCGGGCGTCGGATAGATCAGGACGGCTCGGGGCCACGTCCGTCGGCACAGAAAGGATCGGGAGATCGGATCCGGACGGGGCCTGCGTCGGATCGGGCCGCACAGTCACGGAGCCGAGGCCGAATCGGATCGGCGGCGCCAGGACGCACGGCATCGCCGTGCGAGCCTCGGACCACACCGCATCGCCCGAGCCTGGGGCTCGAATCGGATCGAGCTGGCCGGAGCCGATCTCGAGTTGGATCGATCGTCGGACTGCGATGGCTCCTGGGAGAGAGAGAGAGAGAGAGAGAGAGAGGAAGGTGGGGGAGGAACTCGCTCGCTTTCGCCCATTCGGTGCAACCCGTCGAGCCTCGCGTCGTGATGAACCCTGGGGGGGGGGGAGCAACACGCTGTGGGCTGGGCTGTGACGCTGCACCCTTTTGCTTCGCTGCACCCGTTTGGGGGCTCGTCGCGAGCAGCCGCGGCCGCGCACGGTCGTTGAAGAAGCCTGCTGGCCATGACAGACACGGCCACAGCAGACAGCGATGCACTGAGAAATCGCCATCGCGCCCGCTTTTGTGCCACCCCCTGGCCAGGGCACAAAAGACGGGCAACCCCGTGTTGCAGGAGCGGACTCTCGGCATCCTCCCCACCTCCTCCTCCCCCTCCCAACTCGATCTCCTCCTCCTCCTCCTCCTCCTCCAGTGCCCCCTGCGCCAGTGTATTCAGGGATAGCCAACTCGGAGCCCAGCGGGTGCCCACGGAGGAACAAGGTGCGAGGAGCATTCTCCACGTCTGCGTCGTACTTCTCCCCCCCATCCTCTCCCCATCCTCACGCTTCGTCTCCTGCTGTCATCCTCCTCCTCAGTCTCCTCACAGCCCTGAAGACAAATGTCTGAGGTGTACATGATTCCAACGTCAGAACAATTAGCGGCAGCATGTAAGAGGAGGCGACCTCCCTTCTCCTCCTGCTCCTCCTCCTCCTCCTCATTCTCCTTCCTGTCCTCCTCCTCCTCCTCTTCCTCCTCCTCATCATTTTCCTCCTCCTCCTCATCCTTCTCCTCCCGCCCGCAGCTCATCATCGTGTTTCTCATGCCCCTGCCGCTCCCTCCTCCTCCTCCTCCTCCTCACCTCCTCCTCCTCCTCCTCCTCCTCCTCCTCCTCCTCCTCCTCCCCCTCCTCTCCTCCTCCTCCTCGCCTTCCTCACCTCCTCCGCCACCGAGACTCGACACTACTAAGATGCGACAGCGCGCAAAATCACGACCGGCGCATTGGGACCTCCTTTTTCGGCACTGCTGCACTTCTGGAGCCAGATCGACCTGGCCCTGGGCCCGAGGTCCGGCAAGAACGCCTGAAATATGAAATCGCAGCGCCTGGATCTCAGAAGCCTCCTCCTCCTCCTTCTGCTTCTGACCCTCGCCGCTGCCGTAGACCCCACCAATGGCCCTCGAATTCAGAGAAACAAACAACGACATACGTGTGCATACACTTTCGCTGATCCGTGCAGACTCCTTGACTCTGCGCTAGGACGCCTTCCCTGGCGCACGGAGCGCGCCAGGGGCGGCGGCGGAGGCGCCTCCAGGGGGCCCAGCGCAGATCCAAGAAATCCGCGCGGATCCTCCGAATCTCTTGTTATGCAATTATTTCGTTTTCGATGACCCTCGCCGCTGTCGCAGACCCCACCGTGGACCCCTCCCAAAGCCTGGGAGACCGACGCCCTCGCCCTGGACCCGCCCGCGCGAGCGCTGTGCCAGCGAAGCCAGAGATCGCTCTTGCCTCCCACCTCTCTTGTCCTCCCTCCTTCCTCCCTGGTGCTCCTCCTCTCTCCCACCTCCTTTCTCCCTCCCTCCTCCTCATTCCTCCTCCTCCTCCTCCACCTCCTCCTCCTCCTCCTCGTCCTCCTCTCCTCTTCCTCCTCCTCCTCCTCCCTCCTCCTCACTCACTCCTCATCATCCTCCTCCTCCACCTCCTCCTCCCTCCTCCCCCTCCTCTCCTCCCTCCTCTCCTCCTCCTCCTCCTCCTACCTTCCTGTCCTCCTCTTCCTCTTCTCTTCCTCCTCCTCCTCCTCCTCCTCCTCCTCCTCATCCTCCCCTCCTCGTCCTCCTCCTCCCCTCCTCCCCTCCTCCCCACACCCTCCTCCTCCTCTCTCCTCCTCCTCCTCCTCCTCCTCCTCCTCTCCTCCTCCTCAATCCTCCTTTCTCCCTCTCCTCCCTCCTCCCATTTCCTCTCCCCCTTCTCCTCTTCATCCTCCTTCCCCCCCTTCCCCCCCTCCCTCCTCTTCCCCTCCATCCTCCGCTTCCTCGTCTCTTCGGCCCGTCCGTCCTCGAGGGCGTCCAGCTCGCCACGGAGCGCCGCCAGCGAGCTGACGCGGGGGCGCCCGCTCGCGCGCACCCGCGGCGGAGGGAAGGGGAGGCTCTGCACAGCCCTGTGAAAACAATACAACTCTCGCTGGCGGGTCGCCTCCCAGCAACGCTCGATGTCAATGCTCACGCGGGGCGCCGACGGATTCAATATTTCCGCCGCTGGCGGGGAACTATTGACAAGATTCGGATCGGGGGTCTGGGGTATAGAGAGGCAAGACATATAATAACTAGTTGCATCACTTTCGGCGATTGTAGAAAACAGCACCACGCTTGCCGACGCTGGGTCTGCCTCTCTGCATATGACCACGGCGTTCTCTCTCTTTTTTTTTTTCTCTCTCTCTCTCTCTGTTTCCCCCTCGCTTTCCATTTCTCTCTCTCTCTCTCTCTGTCTCTTTCTCTCTCTCTCTCTCGCTCTCCTTCTCTATCTCTTTTACCTCTTCCTCATATCCCCCCATGCGGCTCCGAGCTGCAGCAGGTGCGGGCCCCAGGCAGGGCTCGGGCCCCGGGGGTTGGGCTCGCAGCAAATGAACAGGCCCCGAGAAAATGGCCCGCGCCCAGGCCACCCCAAAATGGTCCGCATCTCTGCCCACCCCGCACAAACCGGGAACGACTGGGACCGGGCTCGCCCAAAGTGGGCGGGCCCCCAGCAATGGACCGCGAAGTTATTCAACCTGCACATAAAAAAGGACGGGCTGGGATTTGGCTCGAATTCTATCACAAATCTGCTCACTCTAAGCAGGCACGGGGGGAATTGGGCACGCGGGGGGGGTGCTAGCGGGGAGTGCGGGCAAAACAAATGCTTCACAAATCGGCCGAACCCCGGAATTTTTCTGGACGAAACGCAGAACTCCCAGAGAGGCGACACCAGGAATGCACCCCGCCGAAAGCCAGAATTGCCAATTCAAAACCGGAATCCAATCTTGCGAAACCTAGAAAGGCCAATCCAAACCCAGAATTCCCCGATCGGCGGAACCAGGAACACCACTGGACACCAACATAGAAACACTCCAGGCCCAGAGACGGAATTCCAGCCGCCTCGACGGAATCTGCGCGACACTCCGCTTAGCTGGACCTCCCAGGAGCATAGGCAAGCGCCAACCATTGTGCAGTTTGCAAGCGCCATGGGACACCACCCCCAGAAAGCCCCAGAGTCTCGACGTGGCGGTCGTTCGTGGCGACCAAGTAATCCTTTGAGCGCCTCCAGGAACGGTATACACATCCTGAATATTCATTCCGTCCTCTTCTCCTCCCCCGAACAGTATACGAAAACCATCCTCCGCATCCTCTCCTGCAGCCCTCCGCATCCTCCTCCTCATCCTCCTCCTCGTTGTCGTCGTCTTCGTTCTCGTCAAAGACAACCACGTCGATGACGGGCCAGGAAAAATGTCGACAGCAGACGGCCACCCTAGAAAACCAGCGACCGACGACCACGACCGAACAAGCTGCTCCAATTGTGAAATCTTTTCGGTTGGCGTCAGATCCAGGCAGAACAGCAGGAACCTGGTGTCACCCCGAACAGTTCTTTGACTGCACCGGAACCCCTTTGAGGCTCCAGCAGGCCCGAAGACTACGTTGAGCGCCTCCAGGAAAGGTCGACACCTCCAAAAAACTTTGAGCCCTCCTCTTGTTCCCCTCGGAATCTATGAACAGATTCTCCACATCCATCCTCTCCTGTAACCCTTCGTCTCTTCCTCCTCCTCTTTCTCCTCCGTGTCGTCGTCGTCTTCGCTCTTTCTCTCTCTCTCTCTCTCTCTCTCTCTCTCTCTTCGACGACGACAACGGCGACAACATCTCAGGGCTAGAACACCAACGCTCGACGATCACGACCGAGCAGGCCGCCCTGAAGTTGAGATCTGCGCCGTTGGAATCAGATCATATAAAAAGTAAGGCTTTTCAACTTTGCGGAAGACAGCACGATCATGATCAAGACCGCGCCGTATCCCTTGGCACGCCGTCGGAAGAGGAAGATGAGGAGGAGGACGATTACATTTCGAAAGAGCCTTTCGAGTGTATTCCACTTTAGATTCTAGCGCAATAGCAATGCTCCTACACCTTTGAACGCACGTGATCTGCAACGACTCGGGGGGGGGGAGGAACGTGCTCCATTCGATACCCTAATGTTAAAATCTTCTGCGCGGTGACACAGTGAGCGTTCTCACATCTAAGGCTGGCCTGCGCGGGCCTATGGGCGCGCGGAGCGGCAACGCCAGGAGGCGAAAAGAAGCTGCTCCGCTCGACGCGCCACGCAGCAACGCGCAGTGAGGCGAAACAAAACTGGTACTCTACTCCACTCGTCACGTGGCAACGCCGAGGGGCGACCAAAAATACGAATCCACTTCTACCCGCCAAGTGGCAACGCACTAGGTGGGTGGGGGGGGCGGGGAGGGGGACGAAACAGGGTTCCACTGTACACTGGGCGTGGCAACGCCGCGGGGTGGAAAACATAGCATCGACTCGCCGCGTGGCAACGTCTCGGGGGGGGGGGGGGGGGCGGAGGGTGGGGGCGGGGAGGGGGGCGGGCGAAACAAATGCTCCACTCGATGCCCTGATTTGGAGATCTTCCGCGCGGCTCGGCCGCACTGACACATTCAGCGCTCTCACATCTAAGGCTGGCCTGCGCGTGCCGATGGGCGCACGGAGCGGCAACGCCAGGGGGGCGAAAAGAAGCTGCTCCGCTTGACGCGCCACGCAGCAACGCGCAGTGAGGCGAAACAAAACTAGTACTCTACTCCACTCGTCACGTGGCAACGCCAAGGGGCGACCAATAATACAATTCCACTTCTACTCGCCACGTGGCAACGCCAAAGTTGGCGAACCAACAGCACTCCACTCCTACTTGCCACGTGGCACCGCCCTGCGGGGCAAACAGGATCTTTCGACTCGCCGCGTGGCAACGCCTGGGGCGTATTATCAGCAGCCGTGTCACGCGCAAGTGAGCAATTCAAGGGAACTAGCGAGAGCGGCTGCACTCTCGCGCTGTGCGCCTCCAGACTCGTGCCGGCGTGCAGCACCTGGCAGAGCACGGAGAACACTAACACTCCACACGATGCCCAGATTTCGAGATCCTCAGCGCGTGTCAGCCGCCGTGACATACTCAGAGTTCTCAGTTCTAGGGCAGGCCCGCGCTGGCCGATGGGCGAGCAGAGCGGCAACGCCCAGGGGCGGAACAGAAACTGCTCTCATCGACACATCGCGCGGCAACGCGCAAGGGGCGGCACAGCAGAAATGACTTTGCCCTGCTCGTCACGTGGCACCGCCGACGGGCGGACAAAATACGAATCTCCTCCTACTCGCCACGTTGTAGCCCCAGGGGGAGCGACACATAACACTACACTCTACTCGCCACTCTGCAGCAATTTGGGAGGGGAACGAAAACCTCAACTCTACTCTGGGCGTGGCAACGCCGCGGGAGGGAACATGTCCCACTCCACTCGATTCGCCGCGCGGCAGCGCCTGGGGGGGACGGACGGGGGGGGGCGAACAAAAAAATACTCCACTCGACGCCCTGATCTCGAAAAACGGCTGGGCCTCGAAGGTGCCCCCGCTCGCCTCCCCAAACCATCCCCGTTCGCCCGTTTGCCCCAGAGGCAATCCGCCGTTCGCGGCCGAATTTCCCAGTTGGCGGTCGGATTGCCTGGTTCGCCTGTTCACAGCCCTCGGCGGGCCCCGCGGCCATCAAACAATTGCTGAGCTGCCAGGATCAAAAACAAGTCCTGGTGCACCCCCCAAGGGCACAGGACTCGACGTCGACGTCGAAATCGACGGCGGCGAAGTCGACGGCGTCGTCGCCATCGTCGCAATCGTCGCCGAGGGGCGGTCGTCGTCGTTGCCGCCGCTGCCAGCATAATGACGTTCACGTCCAAGAGATGTTTCGGCTTTTTCGGTCTCCAGGGGCCCTCGACGAACCCCAGGACCGTCAAACAACGGCTCAAATCTTAGTATGAAGAACTGTTCCTGGTGACAAGACCCAACCTAAAAATTTAACGCTGTTCGTCGACGTCGAAGTCGACGGCGTCGTCGTCGTCGTCGCCGAGGGGCCATAGAGAGCAATAGGAGGAGGAGGAGGAGGAGGAGGAGGAGGAGGAGCCCAGCGTACCAGGAGGAGGAGGAGGAGGAGGAGGAGGAGGAGGAGGAGGAAGAGATAAAAGAGGGGCAAGCGAAAAAGAGCTCGGGAAATGCAAATGCCCCGATGAACCAATCGGGATTCCTGGTCTCGCGCGTCTGCGGAATTCTGGGTTTCGGAACGAATTCTGGGTCTCGCAGCGTATTCCAAATTTCGCGGTTGAGGCCGATTCGGGGCTGCGACCGAACGGATTCCGGGCTTGGCAACGATTCGCGGGTTGAGCTCTCCACCTCGCAAATCAGCTCACCGCAAACAAGCAAGGACTGGGATTGGGCTTGCGGAAAGTGCGGGCCAAAAGGCTCGCCCCAGACAAGCGAGGACGGGCTGGGATTGGGCTCGCGGAAGTTGTGGGCGCCAAAAAGAACACGGCAAACAAATCGGAGCACCCCAAGCAGACAAACGAGAGCAGGGATTGGGCTCGGGGGGGGGCTGACGGGGAGTGTGGCCCCCAAAAAATTTAGCCCACAAGCCTGCTCGCTCCAAACCTGCTCACCTCATACGAAAACGTAAGACGTGCGAGTGATTTGTGTTTGGCCCGCATTCTCTGTGGGCCGAAGGTTGGCCCGCGCTCTCCGCGTGCCCAGTCCCGTCAGTGCGCGACACGGCACGTGCGCTTCGCTGCGCGACTTGACACGCGCTCGAGCTCGCGCTCGCGCTCGCGCTCGCGCTCGCGGAGACGTCGCAGCTGGGGCGGGAGCCTCCTGGTGGATCCTGGGGTCCTGGGGGTCACTGGGCGAGGTCTCCTGGGGCTTCACGGAATTTCCGAGGGGGCCCGAGGATGTCTGGAGCTTCTTGGAGCTTTCAGAAGCTTGTTGGATATATGTGCGGGCCATCTCGTTTCGGCCCGCGCTTTCCGCAGGCCAGGGGTAGGCAGACGTGCTGGCCACATTCTTGGTTCGCGCGCACTCTCCGCGTGGCCAGTCCGTTTGCGTGTCTGCTTGGAGTGGGCACATGTGCGGGCCAACTCTCCTTGGCCCGCAGCCTCCGCGTGCCCAGCTCTCGCTGGACTGGCAAACTTGCGGGCCAACATGTGCGTGTTGGCCCGCACTGTCCGAGGGCCTGCCCAGGCCGCCCGCGCCCTCCGCGTGCCAAAATTCCTTTTTCTGTTTGCTCGGAGTGGGCAAACGTGCGGGCCGAAACTTGATTTGGCCCGCACGTTCCGCGGATCCACCGTTAGCCAGCACCCTCCGCGTGCCCAATCCCTCTCTCTTTTGCTTGCAGTGGGCAAATGTGCGGGCTTCGTTTTGCCTATACTTTCCGCGGGCCCATTCCCTGCCCTGGCCAGTCAATATTTGCCCGCGCTCCGCGCGTGCCCAGTCCCCTTCCCTGTGCGCTCGGAGAGGGCAGATGTGCGGGCTAAAATCTGTTGGCCCGCACACTCCGCGGGCCCAATTTCGGCCCGCGCCCCCCCCGTGTCATTCTCTGTTTGCTTGGAGTGGGCAGATGTGCGGGCCAAATTGTTGTATGGCCCGCACTTTCCGTTCTGGCCGACTTGTCTTGGCCCGCGCTCCCCGCGTGCCCGATCCCTTCCTCTGTTTGCTTGGGGTGGGCAGAGCGGTCCGATTGTTTGTCGCCCACAACTTCTGCGGATCCAAATATTGCCCGCACTCTCCGCGTGCCCAATTCCTCCCTCCGTGTGTGCGGACTGGGCAGATGTGCGGGCTAAGTGTTGATAGCCCGCACTTTCCGCGGGCCCAGTGTTGGCCCGCGCTCTCCGCGCGCCCACGCCATCTCCGTTCGCCTGGAGCGGGGCAGACGTGCGGACCAATCTATTTGCTTGGCCCGCACTTCCCGCAGGCAGAAGTCCAGCCCTGGCCAGCTTGTTTTGGCCCGTGCTCTCCGCGCGCCCAGTCCAGTTCTGTTCTGCGCGCGGGGGGCGCACATTGGTCTAGAGCATCTATTCGCTAGAGATTAGGCCGCATCTAGCTTGGTTGGCAACGCCTCGTCTCCCACTCTGCAGGTGTGTTGCCCAAGCCGCAGCTGGACCATCTCGCTCTGGCACCACACATCCATGCAAAACTCACTCCAACTACTTCTCAGGGGGTCTTCACGCGCTCCCCACCCGTGAAGGACGCACCATGTGTGGGACCCCGCGCAAACCTCGGTAAACCCACCCAACGCACGGAGCATGCAGCGCGCCCACGAAAGCGCACCAGGCGAGACCTTGACAAACCACTTAGCAGCGAGAGCCCCGCGGTAAATTGGTGCGGGAAGGGGGGGTGGAGAGAATGAAAGGGAGAGAGAAAGAGAGAGAGAGAGAGAGAGAGAGCGAGAGAGCGATAGAGAGAGAGAGGCAGAGATAGAAACCGCGGGAAGACACCAGACGCGCACAAGTTCAACACCACTTTGGGAAAAAAGCCGCGCGGGTAAGACAACGCCTGGCTTACTTTTCCAAAACGGGGCGCGGAGCCCAGATCTCAGCCGATACGAGCTGCTCAGTCCCGTAATGTTTCATGGATCTCGGCCTCCGGGGCCCCCCGAGAGAGACCTCCTGCGCTCGCGTGGCGCTCGCGTCTCCGGAGGCGTCCTGGTCCTTCGCCTTCCGCCCTTTGGGACGCCGCGGTTCCCGCCGGGGCCGCGCCCAGATCTCCGACGATCCGATGCTTCCAGCCCCGGACGCCCACCCGCCTGCGCTTGCGGGGGCGCCTCGCGGGGGCGCCTCGCGCTCCCTGAGTACCGTTCCACCGATCCCCATCCCCAGCGGCGTGGCCTGGGCCCCACTGGCCAATGTACCCCCCTGGATAGGAGATATAGGTCGTTCCCTTCGGGTCTCGGGGGGCGTACCCCCAACTGGGGTGGTAGTTTGGTGGGGATCTCGAAAGTGATGGGGATGGGGATGGGGATCGTTGAAACGATACTGACTCTCGGCGACGCCGCGGTCCCCTCTTGCCCGACGGCATGACGTGTGCAGTCCCGTGTCCCCAACTTCGGCGTCCGGGGCCCGTCGCCGGGCCCCGGGACCCGCAAGCACGGATCCGGGGCGAACAAGCTGCCCCCGAGGGGGAGGCGTCGAGACCTTTCTGGGGGTCGCGGAGGGAGCCAGAATCCGCCTCCGTCCACCCCTCGCAGCTGCCTTCCTCGTCCTCTCTCCTGCGGAGTGACGCCCCAATGCCTGCCTCGCTCCTCCCGCCTCCTGCGCCTCCTCCGCACGCCCCTCGTCACGCTGGTCTGTCCAGGAGGTCCCCCCCCCTGGGTGCGAGGGGGCCATCCCCATTCCACCCAACCTGCAGATCGATTCCCTTCTGGCGACGCCTGTGGATGAGCTGCTGGCACTCCTGCTTGGACTCCTTCTTCGACTCCTGTCACGGCACCGGGCGCATCGAATGGCCAGCGCCACTGGGCAGCAGCAGGAGGGGGCGGAGGAAGACAGGAGGGGGGAGAACGAGAAGGAAGGACCTCACCAAGGGGACACTCACCAAAGGGACGCAAAGATGAGGGAGAGACTGACGAGGGGCTGGGCGCGCTATGCCCCCACTCTCATACAGTCGGGGCGTTGACCTAAGTAGCGACAAATAAGGAACGAGGCCCCTTTGATCCTTACATACAGCTTCGATTCCCGATCGAGAACCCAAGGCAAGCAGTAGAACAACTAAGGAACACGGAGCCCCTCCAGAACGGGAAGGGTTCCTTCTTCAGCGTCCAGACGGCATGGCACGCGCAGCGATCGGAAGCGGCAGCGGCAAGGCTCTTGCCAGGAGCTCTGCCGCCGCCGCCCGTGGGCACGCTGCCCGGCGCTGGCCGCGCCGAGGTGCACCCACGGCGCCCGGCCCTGGACAGCGGGCGCCTCTCCCAGACAGAGGCCGGGCCTCGTGCGGGCAGGGGCGGCGTGCCAGGGGCATGGCTCGAGCACGCTCCTGGCACGGCTTCACGGACCACGCGCGCCACGAGAGCTCACTCGAGGCAAGCTCTCGTGGCCCGCGTGGAACGGGCGAAGGCACATCTCAGCGACCAGGACTTGAACGGGTGGGGGCGCGGTTTGACCCCCCACAAACAAGTTAGTCCGGCACGAGACTGCGGAGGGCGGGTTGTGTACAAAATGGCATCCCCTGCGGGCGCGATGTTTGCACATCACACCCGCAAACAAGCTGGTCCGGCGCAGGGTACGCGGGTAGGGGCGATGGCCGTAAATCGGCTCCCGATCAGTTAGCTGACTGCATACGACGCGAAAGCGTTTGTTTCGACGCCTCCACTAGTCAGCAATATACAGCAAAGTTTGGACGCGTTCGATCGAACACGCGCTGGGAAACAAGGCGTGGTGCCCCCCCAGCGAATGAGAAGTTCGAGGAGACGCCGGCGACGAATCGGCCCGTGAAGGCAACGAGCTGGATATACGTTTGCGCCGATGCTGGCTGACGAATTCACCACCGATGGTTTCCGTTTCACTGGCGGCAATTACAACCGACGCCCTCTTCCACACGGCAAGACCGCACGGCTTGTCGCGGGGGCGAATTGCCACGGACGAATCGCTGAAAAACGCCGTGGTCAAGCGAAAAAAGAGCTGAACATCTTTGCGACAACATGCCCTCTACAGGCCAAGTCACCTTCGCATCTTGTCGGGCTGCGTCGTGGGGCTCGGCTTGGGTAGAGGAATCCCAGGAGAGCCGCACATTCTATGCATGCGACCAAACTTGCTAACCCAATGACGCATACGGTGGCGCACGGAGCAAGCTATCGCGCAATGTGGCACAGAAAGCGGGCGCTATCAATGATGCAATCAATCAAATGGGGCAACCCATGGCGCACATCATCTGGCGTAACCATTGGCTCACAACCTTTGGCGCAAGCCTTGGCGCAAAACATGGTGCAACCTCTGGCGCAATCCGAAACGAAACTCTGGTCCAATCCGTTACACAGGCACTTGCGCAACCCATGGTAGCATTTTGCGCCAAGCTCTTAGAGCCACCCATGGCGCAACATATGGGGAAGCCACATTGCCACCTTTAGAGAAAAACGGCGCACCCTGTTTTGCAAGCGATAGCGCAACCCATGGCGCAGCCCATGTATGGCGCAAGCTCTGGCGCAATCATTGGCGAAATACGCGGCGCAACCTACGGCGCACCTGGGCGGATGGGACTGACGTAGTTTGACCTCGAAGTTTCTGCGGGGCTGCGCCAGATTGATGCTCGCCGCTTATGCTGCTGACCTGTGGGGGGGGGGGGCCATCCGTGGGTAGTGGCCTCGAAGCCTCGCTGCCACTTGTCAATCAAATTCTGCGCATCAGTGGCACACTCATATTCAAGGCTGGCAGAAGCATGCGAAAGGTAAAAATAGAAGGCGTACAAGTCCTCACCTGTGACATTCTGGACCATGCACGGGCATGTCCCGTAGGCCGAATCATGTAGCCTGCGTCCAGAAAGAAGAACACGCGCCCCGCCCCGCCAATGTCGTAAGCGGTGATGGTCCACAAATACTTGTGCCCTCGCCGTAGGCAGGCGTGCGACCTCCCGCGCAGGATCAAGAAAGAAAAAACAAGGGAAAAGGAAGTGGCGGCACCGTGGGCCAGGAACCAAGGCTGAGGTCCAGACAGGGTTGTCCCTATACTGTTCCCTACAAGACTTACGGGCTGGCGAAGCGCCAAGCCAGCGCCGAATATCTGACATGCCATCACATCCACGGGGTGCGCGGAAGATCGGAAGTACATGGGTCAGGCCACACAGAGGGCACTCGCGCTTAAAACGCATACCCGCGTATACCCCCTGACAAGAAGGCGCAACTGGGCGGAGGGGACTGACGTAGTTTGACCTCGAAGTTTCTGCGAGGCTGCGCCAGATTGATGCTCGCCGCTTATGCTGCTGACCTGTGGGGGGGGGGGGGGGGGGGGCATCCGTGGGTAGTGGCCTCGAAGCCTCGCTGCCACTTGTCAATCAAATTCTGCGCATCAGTGGCACACTCATATTCAAGGCTGGCAGAAGCATGCGAAAGGTAAAAATATACGGCGTACGGGTCCTCACCTGTGACATTCTGGACCATGCACGGGCATGTCCCGTAGGCCGGATCATGTAGCCTACGTCCAGAAAGAAGAACACGCGCCCCACCCCGCCAATGTCGTAAGCGGTGATGGTCCACAAATACTTGTGCCCTCGCCGTAGGCAGGCGTGCGACCTCCCGCGCAGGATCAGGAAAGAAAAAACAAGGGAAAAGGAAGTGTCGGCACCGTGGGCCAGGAACCAAGGCTGAGGTCCAGACAGGGTTGTCCCTATGCTGTTCCCTACAAGACTTACGGGCTGGCGAAGCGCCAAGCCAGCGCCGAACATCTGACATGCCATCACATCCACGGGGTGCGTGGAAGATCGGAAGTACATGGGTCAGGCCACACAGAGGGCACTCGCGCTTAAAACGCATACCCACGTATACCCCCTGACAAGAAGGCGCGCGATGCACGATGCTGGACGTCGCCCCAAACTGGGCTTTTCCTGCTTAGCAGAGCCCTGATGGGGTCCAGGAAGGGGGGCCCAGCACGACGGTGATGCAGCGGGTGTCTGCCGCGCCCAGACGCGGGCTGCCCGACTCAGTGGGGCAACAAGATCACGAGGGTGAGTAGAAGTAATATCTAGACTAGTCCCCATAGCGGCATGCCAAACTGCCGGGGGCCCGAAGGACCACCCACTCCTGAACGAGGTAGCCGCCAACATAACACCAGGGCCCTGGAGCGAAGTCCAAGGTGCCTGATGGGTGGCTGCGTTAATGGCCTCCTGCAGGACACGATCAATACTGCCCCAAGGTAATCGAGACATCCGCCTGGATGCAGTCCAGAGACGAACTAGTTCGGCGTGAGCATTTAGAGCTAGGCTCGCCACCCCTAACAACGCTAAGTCCATGGTGGCGGATCGGCGCTTGCCTGTCCCAAGGCCGACGTGCTATACGTTTCGGATGTGCTTAATACGGTAGGTGCCTGGACCCGCTGCATCAATACCAAAGGTGACCGTCGGACGAAGGTTCGTATTGATGATGCCCTGGGCCGCAGCCCCTGCGCGCCGTAATCTGACGAGACGGCGAGCCTTCCTTCTGCGTTGCCATCTGAATCCTAGACTTCAGTACAGTACGAGGACGACGGCCGCGACGAACCTGAATGCCGATACCTAAGGCTCTGCAAGAGAAACGCACGGCACCACCGAGCCATGGAATCTCAGCTGCGATGCTTCTGGCCAGGGGTGCACCCGACGCATGGAGCCCCAATTGGGGCTCGGGGGGCTCGGAGGGGGGGGGGGGGGGGGGGGGGCGCGGGCGGAGTGCGTCAACTTACTCGCGAGGAGATGCGAGCCATTTGGACCCGTGCGCATCGCCTCAGCGTCAGAGCCCACTCCCAAGACCTGAACGTCATCAGCAACCAATCCCAGGTGCAATTCTGGATGCGCACGACGTGAGGAGCCCAGCCCTGGCATAAGCATGATGCGCATGAACGAGTCGGCAAAAGAGCATCCAGCAACAATAGTGATCGCAACAGACACCAATGATCCGACAACCCGGCGCACGGTGGGCATGCGCGGGTATCGGTACAAACCCAACAGTACTCTCAAGAGGGCGGGGTTGAACTGAAACTGCGGGCAACGCTGGATGAGCAATCGTGGGGGGGGGGGGGGGGGGCCTGCTCAAAAATCTTCTTTCACGTCCAAGAGGACGGCCCAGACAGACAAACCACGTAATGCAGCGTACTCAGCCAAGACACTTCTACGCCATGCGCACGGTTGACAAGAATGGTTGCGCACTCCGTATACACGCGGTCGCGAATGACGCTTAGCCCACGCAATGACATGCGTGCGTCTAAAGTGTCGGGTGAAGGCGCGCGCAAAGGCGGCGAACGACGCGACGGCGCGCTCGCCCCCACCAGGCTTGCAATAGGTTAACCACAGACCTGGCCAGGATAATCAGCAGACGTCCAAGACGTAGGATGGCAGCCCAAAGCTTGAACAGCGATAGCACGGACTCGTCCGACAGCCACGCGCGGCGACGAGGATGAATCCAGTCAAGTCCGACAGAAGTACGAGCCCGATACCTGCGGCTCATCTTACGGTGGCGTTCCAGGAGCGGCAGGGGCACGGATGCAAGGCCATCAGGTAGAACAGGTGGCAAGGACAGACCGCCGCAAGGGTCGGAGGACTGGTCAACAGGCGGCATAGGCCCCCACATTCCACGCCAGAAATGCTCACGCGCCGTTAAGTGATAAGCAGCGACACCACGAGGGGGGTCATCCACGGAAGGGTCCTGCATAACATCAAGAGCGTTCCAATGCATATTGCCCTCGGCGAATCGGCGCGCAGCGGGCTCCCGCATTCTCGAACCGACCGGATAGCCCACGGGCGCCATCTCTGATGACGCTCGGCCGAGGCTGCCTTCTCCCAAACTGCCGCCACGTCAGACAAAGAACTCTTCAGCCAGAGAAGAGAGCCGAGACCAAAATGCTGAAGACGTCGCGCATAGCTGCGCCGCCGCCACCAGTCCGAGGGAGGGGGGGGGCCTCTCATTTGGACGGGTAGTAATGCCTAAGACGCGAAGCCTCGGCTGAGAAGGCCCCCCGAGACTGCGGCCAGAAACCGCCGCAACTTGCCCTCGAAGGAAGAAACAACACCTGCAGGAAACAGCGATGCAACCAAAACCTGCATCACGTTTGGATATTCACCCCATGTCTTGCACGCGTCAGGATCGGGGAGATGAGATAAGTCAACCAGCTCAGCCGCATGCGTCCTTTAAAAAAGCGAGGAAGTCTGCTCCTCAAGCTCAGGGGCCGAATCAATCTCGTCGGCCGCCTGCGGGGGGGCAATCCCAGGAAGGAGGGCAAGGTGAACGCCCAACAGAACGCTGGACTTTGGTAACAGAAAGCCTCCGCAATATTGATACAAGATCCTTGCCCACTGACGCCTTGATATGCTGAGCGGCAGGCTGGCGCTTAGGAATGAGAGGGGGGCAAAGAACTTTGCAAGTGGCAGCATGCGAGACATGGCGGACAACAAGAGAACCAATCTTAAACAGCAACCACCACTTTCATACGCATTGCCACTAAGAGCAACCACGATGCCGCCCACGAGCTCTAACAACCCTGTTTCCTGTAGTTCTTCTGGTGACATATTCCAATCAGCCGACATGAAGTAAGGAGGGCCGATGGTACGAACAGCGGATGCCACCTGCATGAGCAACTGCGCACTGCGAGCTACTGACCCTTTTCCAGAGCGCAAATAAAGATTAAGCCAAGGCGCACCCATGTCTACCAATCCGTGCCTGAGCTTAATGATGCATCGCTCATGGGGGAGGTTAGACCACAGTAGAGTCCACGGGGATGTCCGACAAGCTCCTGGAGTACTGAGAAACCAGAGCAACCCCAGAGCTCAATCCACCCTCAGACGTACGTATGGATGGGTGAACGTGCGCGTGAAATCCAAGACGGCGTATACCATTTGTAGCAGCCTCAAGACAATCAGCAGAACGGCGCAATTACTGAATACCTACTGCATCAAAGGAGCGAGTGTGGGCAACCAAATAACTCTCCGCGTTTGTCCAGCTCGTGACATTGACCGATAGCAAGACCCAAGAATGTCGACCATGACCTAGGTTTGGCTGCACCTTTCCCCTGGTGAGGGTCCGGACGGGCCCGGTGAGTCCGCCGCGCTGCCTGTAGTGCCATCGTCCACATCGCCAACGCTGTCACAAGGCACCTCATCACAATCGCTGGGGGAAGAGTCGGCCCATTGCTCGGAAGCAAAAGACGGTTGCTTGCGAGGCGCCTCGGCTGCTTCTCGCGAAGGTGACACGCCCGCTCTGTATACTGGACGAGCGTCGACTTCCATGGAAACTGCTGTTGCAACTGATGGCGCGCCTGCTGCCTGCCGCGACGCTGCTGCCGACGCAGAACGAGAAGGCGAGCGAGGAGGCCGGGCGACAGGACGATCCAACGCAGGAATAAACTGAGCCGCGGCTGACAACTCAACCATCTGTCCCAAGGCACGAGCAACCTCAGGGATCTGTCTAGAGGACTTGGGGAGGTCCCTGAGAAGTGTCTTACACATGTCTGACAAGTCGCTGGACTCTGGCTCAACAACAGGCTCTCGAATTGGGAGAGAATCGAGACGGCTCTGCCACAATGCGCATTCTGTCTGGAAGCGCTCCCGCTTAACCTCCCACGAACCTCTCCTAACAAGACTGTCGGACAATTCCTGCTCAATCTTCTCCAGGGTAGCGCCAGCCTTCTCAACTTTCCTAGTAGACCACCGAACCTGCTGGGACAAACGAGCACTCTGCTGAGAAATGGAGAGCACGGCCGTCGTCTTCTCAGGGGAATCAGCCAGTTCGGACTGGAGGTGGTCAATATCTTGCTGATTTCGAACAGGGGCAGGAATACTTCTAAGGCTGTCAAGGCAAGTCCGCTTAGTCTTAATGAAGGCTGCTCGGGTTCACGCAACGAGGGGCGAGCAGCGGCGGCAGAAGACACAGGAGCCACAGGAACCACCCCTCCTGCGGCATCGGCCGCCCCATGGGGCTTTTCCTTCTCGCCCTTGGCCTTTGTCCGTTCTTGGCCTTGTTCTTGTCCCTGTCATTGGACTTTGTCTTGGGTAAGGCGAACAGGGAAGTATCCATTGCAGAACGTACAAGTCCTGCGGTGATTGGAGAGGTATATCCAAGAGGGGGCACCAACATCGCAGCAGGCAGGGCCAGCAAGATAAGGCGGCATGTCGCGCGCGCGTGGGCACGCGAGGTCTGCTGTCGACCGAGGGCGGTTCTCTAGCCTGCCCCTTGGCAACAACCAAGCTCCAAGCCTCAGGGCAAGGTTTGGAACTTGAGCCAACATGGCTACGGATGCCCATGGTCCCAGAGAGGGGGGGGGGCGGAAATTCGGGACCGCCCTCTGGACCGATATACTCCAGGATGGCCGCAAGAAGCCCTCCAGGGCCCCAAAGGGACACCCGAGAGCGCTTCAAGAGGGCCTAAAGAGGGCCCAAAGACCCCCAAAAGACCTCCAAGAGGACCTCAAGATCTCCCAGAAGAGTCCCAAGCGGGCTCCAAGAGGCAGGTCTGATGGTTCTGGCCTTGTCCTCGTTGTCCTCCTCCTCCTCCTCCTCCTCCTCCTCCTCCTCCTCCTCCTCCTGGTCCTCCACGTCCTCGTCCTTGCCCTCATCGTCTTCCGTTTCCTTTTCATCCTCGTCGTCGTGGTCCTCGCCGTCGTGGTCCTCGTCCTCGTCGTCGTCTTCCTTCTCCTTCTCCTCCTCCTCCGCCTCCTACTTTTCCTCCTCCTTCTCCTTCTTTCCCTCGCCCCACGCGAGCCCCAGGGATGGATGGCCCGAGGAGGCCACCGAAGGTCACCTCCTTGCTCCTAGAGATCACCCTGGTTGACCGTTCTGTTTCAGTGAGTGTGTCACGTCGTCCCTTTTCCCGTCAGCCCTCATGGGCAGGTTTTCTGAAAAAGCTGGTGGGGATACTTTTTTCTGTTGGTTCGCGGGCGCGCGAAACGAGTCGAACGCCGAGCGTGCTAGGCTGGTGGGGATACGCGGAGCGTGACGAAATCGCACTACTAAGTGGGGTCGGTGCTGCATGTCATGATGATGTGATCTTCGCAGGAGCAGACAGATATGGACGAACGGATGGCGCAATCCATGATCTGTTGCCACACAGCTGCACTGTACACCCGCAAATGCCTCCCCTGATCCCCTCACAAACACGACAGTGATGCACAAAATGCAAAACTACCAACAACGCAACACTCAATCACCATTACTGAGGCATGCCATACCCTCAAGTACAGATCACGTCGAAAACTACAATCGCCCCAATGTGCGTCATCCAAGCTTGAACCCTCTGAAAGGCTTCGTGCTCCCAGATAGCCTGTTGTACACCCAGTTGAGAAGCTTGTCGAAGAGAAGCTTGGGAAATGGCCACAGGCTCGTCTCCCGACGTGCAACGCACTGCTTCCCGCAGAACCATTCGAAGGCACAAGCAGGCGAAGAGAACTCGAAATCGACCCACAAGTGCGTCACGGGAACCATCACACCTCTTTCGTCGTGAAGGGCTGGAATGTCGTGGAAGGCCGCTGGCCCGCTCGGGACCTCCGTCCGCCAGGCAGTCCACAGTGATACCGCCCCCGCGAGCCCCTGGCTAGAAACAGGCAAGACAACCATAGCCCCGCAGGTGCGGATCAGGTTCAGGGGGCGGCGGGGTCGTCGGCAGTCTGCGAGGTTTTGGAGAAGCCCGCAGCAGGCGCAATTGTTTTACACATTACATGACAAGCACGCCGTACTAGCTGAATTTTCGTCAAAGCAACGTGGGCGGGTCGCGGGCGGGTCGGAGGTGGGTCGCGGCTGAGTCCCAGGCCTCATTTGCGCGCGGGGCGCGCCAGTGGCGGCGCCAGAGGGGGGGGGGGGGGGCAACGTCCCAAAACATTGAGGTGACAGACCGCGCGGCGCGCGGTGACCTCGGAATTCCCAACGACCTCACCGCATGGTGTGGCACAACTTTGGGATCCTGCAGGCCCCGGCTGCCAGACTTCCATGGACATCGACAACCCAAATCCCAAAACCGTGCGGCCACCCCGAATCCCAACTGACTGCAACTGCCCTCCTCCGAAAACTTTGTTTCCGGACCATAACTCCTCGGGTCTCCGGCGGCCGTTCGGGACGATCCGGGCACCACCAGAACGCTCTCGGCGAGGCGCAGGTGCTGGAACGCACCCCGAGGCAGGACCCCCCCATGAATCGGCGGAGACGTCATAAAACCCCGAATAAATCCCCACTGACTCACCACACAGTGTGGTCACCGCGCCGTTTGGGGGCCCCCGATCTTCCTCGTCTGGCTGACCTGTGCCCTGGGGTGCGATGGATGGCTGCAAGGCTGCGCTGCATCTCGGTCGCTCTGCCCGCTACGCTACCTCGACCGTCCACGCACGGGCGGGCGTGCGCGGGGCAGTGTGCCAGACTCTGGGGCGCAGGGAATCTGCGACGACTGATGCGTCTCGCTGCATTGCAGGGGGTGAGGAACTGGCGTGCGCTCGGCAGCGCCCGTGCGACCGACTCCCGAAAACCTGGGCCCAGAACTGTTGACGTGCCACTTCTGCTCTGCCCCCACCCCGCCGGCCTTCCGCAGCCTTCCGCTGGCGTGCCCTTCCCCGTCCTGGAGCGCTCCGAAGCAGAGGCCTGCTCTGGAGCGCGCCATGGGGGGGGCGCGGGTCATAGAGCCCGCTGGGCCGCTGGAGCTCGGGATGCTGCTTTTAAGTTGGACCAGGGACGGTGGACACCCTGCTGCACCGCTCCACGGCGCGGGAAAGCGGTGGCGACAGCGGAGCTTTTGGCAAAGCCCAGGGAATCCGAAAGGAGGGCGCGGATCACAATGTGGGCAAGCGCAGGGGGTGCGCTCCGCTGGACACCGTCGCGGGCGGCACAGGAGAGTCCCGACAGCGGTGCGCACGCCGAAGCCGAGGGCAAGCGATGCGCATCCCCCAGGGGCCCAGGAAGGTGGCGAACGCTGCGCGTCCTGCGGCACCCTGGGGGGCAATGACAGCAACCTGGGCCCGCAGAGCGGGGGGGTGGGCGCTCCGCTCAACCCCCTAGGGAGGGCGTACGAAAGTGGGAGCAGCGGTACGATGAGCTGAGGGAACAGAAGAGGTAACCGCTACTCCCCGGGCATCTCCTGGGGTGCGTTCTGACCAGAATTCCGAGGAGAATCCACTCGTGGTGACGGGAGCTCTCCAGGACGAGCAGCGGTGCTGGTACCGCTGCCCCCTCTGACTGGCAGTGCCCCCCAAAACAGCGGGGGCGGCGGCAGCCCCCCCCTCAGGAGCGCGAGAAAGCGGCGACGGCTTTGCGTTTGGCAATGCTCAAAGGGGGGCAAGGATCGCAGCCTGGGCCCGCGTCGCGCCAGCAGGGAGGGTGGGGGAGGCGCGCTCTTCTGAAACACGCGAGGACGCAGGAACGTGGCTACACATGTGCACTTGGCAGCTTCGGAGGGGGGACATGGATGAATCTCTGAGGCCCGCACATGCGAGGCAGCCGATTGACCACCCACGGACGCAGAGGAGTGGAGACGGCTTTTGCGTCTGGCGGCGCAGAGAGAGAGGCATGGGACCTGCTCAATATCCGCATGGAAGAACAGTCCACGTATCCGCTCCTTCAAGTTTCCAGTACAATTGCGGCAATTGCATTGACGGCGGTGGCGCACACAAGGAAGCGGCAACAACAGCCAGACCAAATGACCGGCAACAGGGGAAGAAGAAACTACAATGTGATAGAACACGAGGATGTCGGAAGGACACGAAGGGATGGGAGGAGCAACAACTGCTGTGCTCGACAAGAACGCCCGACCAAGCCACCAGAGGAAGCTGGAAACAACGTGCCTGGAGAGTCCAGCCAAGCAACTAGCGTTTCGCTATCCCTCGGCGGAAAAAAGCGTCGAGGCTCGATATTAGAGGCTGACTCAGACCACCAAGCCGGAGGGTCCCAAACGTCATATGGAGGCTCCCAGAGGATTCTGCCCACAGAAGCCTCTGGCAGGCTGCATTACGACCCCATTCAACCCAGATGCTTACATCAGCGTTGTCTGGCCTCGCAGTGGCACTGGAGAGGTCCCACGAGAAGGCCAACGCCCGACACGAACGTCTAATGAGCAAGTCACGTTGGTACGAACCCACGCGTCTGCAGTGTGAGCTCGCGGGAAGATGGGGCAATCAAGCACCGAGTCCGCTTCAGGACATCCGCCCCAGAGTGAGCCTGATTTGCTTCGAGATGGCCTCGGCCTCGAGACGAGGAGCCTCAGCATTTCCTGGCATGGTGTGTCCTTCACTTGTTGTGGCTTTGGAAGCGGAGGTGGAGATCAAGAGCAGATTGAACATGAGCCTTCAGGCAATACCTGGGGAGTCGAATGGAGATTCGAAAGTCTCCCAGGTAGCCCCGAGCGCCCCCCCGAGCAAGCTGCCTCAAGACGACCCCGAACTCAGACAGCGCACCAAACCCAAAAACCCAACAACCTTCGTGTCCACACGGCGCTTCAACAAACAACCTTGACTCATCGGCTTCCGTGTGTGCTTCGCTGTTTGTGTGTTTGAAGTTGTTTGTATCCTGGTGTCCATGCGGAGACAGAGAAAGCCACACATGCGCTCTCAGTGGGCCTCCGGCAACCACATACTTACAAGCATGACACGTTGACGTCCTTTCAGAGAGGCGGGGAAGAGCCCAAATGACACCACTGATACACACGATATACAATCGGGGCAGCACAGATGAAGTCAAAGATGCCACGCGGATGACCTTACGATTGCCACGGGAGTTGCCCAGATAACCTTACAAGCCCAGCATAACCGAGTCGGCTTGCAGGAAGCCCAACGATGCCCTGCAGAGCGTCCCATCGTGCACAAAGGACGCCTCCTGGCAGATGCAAGACGCCACCATCGTCCACCCGAAATTGCAAAACAAACTGAACCATACCATGATGCGTGCAACAACAAGACGGGGCAGAAATCTGTACCGCAATCGAGATAAGAATATCAAGCGTCGGCATCAACATAACCTTGAAGGTCCGCGCGGATGTCTTGGATCGGCGCTGGACCCCACGCGTTTTCTTTGGTGCTTCCATACCCTCCTGCGCCGCCCCCTCTGGGGCGGACGACAAGGGGGTCTCGCAGAGGGGTGCGAGCGAGTCAGCTCACGCCACTGGCTTCTCTTCTTCGAGGTGATGCCAAGGGCCCCCATGCAGTTCCCCCGTTCCCCAGCAGGCCTGGTGCCATGACGAGTGCGCCGCACGGGGCCTACACCTCAGCTCATCTTGGAAACGGGGGGAAAAACGGCGGAGAGGGAATGGGAGGTGTGTCAAGGACGCCCCGCAGACCTCCAACGTTTCGAGGAACCGGAGACGGAACCTTCTCTCCATTCTCGGCCGATGGGGGCGCTCGACGGGCCCTGGGACCGTCAACAAGACAACTCAGGACTCAACTCGGAGGAGGACGATGAGGAAGAGGAAGAGGATGGGGGGGAGGGGAGGAAGAGGAGGAGGAGGAGGAGGAGGAGCAGGAGGAGCAGGAGGACCTCCTGGGGCCCCGCACTGAAAAAACTCAAGACATCGGCTTCCTGGGCCTGGCGGGTGCTCCACTATAACGGGCACGGTGGCCAGCGACGCGGCGAGCACAACTCTCCCCGATGCGGGCAACGCTGCAATGCCCGAATCAAGCTCTGAAGTGGCAACTTCCAGCGGGTGTCCAAAGTACCCATGGGTCAGTACCCATTGCGGTGCCGCTGAGCGCGGGAGGGAAAAGGGGGAGGGAGGCGGGGGAAGGGGGCCAGATGGGGAACGGCCGGCGAGGACGGAGTCGTTCGCATCATGGTCGAACGATTTGAGGAAAGGCTTGTCGAAGCGTACCCAGGTGTTCTCCGCCCCGCTGCCACCGAGGAACTGGTACTTGCTCACGTGCGGGACAAACGCAAAGGCGTGGTGCTCCCCTGTGAATGGAGCTCGGCGGAACGGCTCGCACTCGTCCGGCAATCCGAACGGGAGGTTTTGAAGCTCCCGCACACCGAAGCCGTTTCGCCAGTCTCCCTTCATGGGGCCGCCAAACAACTTCATGTCCCGCTCGATCCCGAGCGGTAAGCGGTCACCGACGTCCTCGAAGTCCAGTATGTCGCCGTCCGAATAGATCGGGTAGTCCAGGGTCTTCACCTCGACTACACGCAAGATTGACCCTAGGCAAGGGTGATCTTTGGTGCGCGGACTGAAGGGGCGCAGCGAGGCCAAACCTGGGCGCGCCGCTGCTACCGCTTCGCGTTCGGCGATCGGGGGACCCCGATGTGCCCGCACCAAAAATCACTCCGGCGAAGGGTCACCCCTACGTGTAGTCAGCTCATCACCGCCGCGCACTCGTCCGACGTCATCCCCAGGCTGGTGCCAGCACGGAGGTGCGACCATGGGGGCGAGGGCGAGGAGGGCTCGCCAGAGACGTCCACGCCCGATGAACTGCGCTGGAAGAAGACCCAAACACACGCGGCATCTGAGCATGGTTGATTCGATCCCTATCCCACCAGCGTGGCCTGGGCCCCAAGCCGAGTTACCCCCCTAGACGAGGATGTTCTAAGCTGCTCGAGGCGAAAAGTTCTTTTGCCCCAGCGCCTTACATGCTTTGGGGCACAAGAACTGATATGGCTGCTGATGCTCCCTCCCCACATCACCTCCCCTTCCGCCGCAGCCGGATTTGACGCAGCAGTGCTTTGAGTCCCAGCCCCAGCTGCGGCGACGCCAAGGTTGGGAAGATGACGACGACGACGACGACGACGACGACAGCGACGATAAAGTCGAGGACGAGGACGAGACGATACTTCATACCGGCTTGTGGGATGTGTCCGCAGCCACGGGGCAGTATGCGCTGGACCAAGCAGATAAGCCCAGACCAGAGTAGGCAGATCAACCTGATCACCAAAACTGCAATGCATCACAAACTGTCTTACGGCGGATGGGCCGCAAGTAAACAGACTAGACAGACCAGACCTTTCACCGAGACCACCCAGACCAAGCAGACTAGCCAGACCAGCCAGTCAGACCAACCAGGTGGACAAACCAGACCAGCCAAGTAGACCAACCAGACCAACAAGACCAGCTGGCCGTTCAGACCAGAGAAACCCTGACAAGACTAAGCAGGTAAACCTGAACGGACCAGGCAGACAAGCCCAGACCAAACTGAGCAGGCCAACTTGACTGGACCAAGCAGACCAGCCAGACCAGCCAATCAGACCAGCCAGACCAGCCAGCCGGGCCAGTCACACCAGCCAGCAAGACCAGCCAGCCAGCTCTTGCAGCATCACTGATGAGCAACAACACAACTGCAATGCAAAACATATGTGTTCGTGCCGTCAGCGTCGACATGTCCGCTTCAACCCTCTCTGAACCTCCCAAAACCACGCTTGGCTCGCACGCTGAATCCTACGCTCAAGCTCGAGCAGCGCCACTACAGAAGACGCAACAAAAATAGCAACGCAACAAAAGCTGCAACGCAACCGAACTTTTTCGTCGGCGGCGAGACAGGGGCGGTCCGCTCCAGCGTGTGGCAACTGCACTGCAACTAAACAAGCCAATGCAAACACATATCAGTTCGTGTAGTCATCGCCGACATGTGCCCTCCAATCCTGCCTGAACGTCTCCAAACCACGTTTGGCTCGCAGGCGGAATCCTACTGCAACGCAGGAAACTGCAATGCAGAAAACACAGTGATCGTGGCCGACGTGTGCGCGTCACCCCTTCCTGAACCTCCCCAAACCACGCTTGGCCCCCACGCAGAATCCAAAGCTCAAGCTCTAACAACGCCACTACAGCGCAAAGAACACGGCACTGCAAAACAAAAACTGCAACGCCAACAAAACCGCAATGCAACAAGGTCTGCAATGCAAAGCACACGGTTTTCGTGTCGTCGTCGCCGACAAGTGCGCTTCAACTCCTCCTGCACCTCCCCAAACCACGCTTGGCTCGCACGCGGTATCTCAAGCTCAAGCTCGAGCAGCGCCGCTACAGCGCAAAAGTAACAGCGATGCGAGAAATCTACGACGCGAACAACACACACACAATGCACAGCAGACTGCTTTCGTGTGGTTGTCGCCATCATGTGCGCTTCGGCCCTCCCTGGGACTCCCTAAGCCACGCCACCTTTCACGCGAAATCCCAAGCTCAAGCTCGGAACGCAACAACAAACCGCTCCAATGCAACAACAAAAATGCAATGCACAAACAAGCTTGTTTGCCGCTCAGCGCAAACAAGCTGCAACGCAACAAAAAAAATGCAATGCAAACACAACTGAAATGCACACACAATAACGGTTTTCGATTGGTGGTCGCCAACGTGTGCGCTTCAACTCTGCCTGCATCTCACCAACCAACGCTTGGCTCGCACGCGGAATCCTAAGCTCAAGCTCGAGCTACGCCACTACAGCGCAAAAGAAACAACTGCAATGCAAACAATTGCAATGCAACGCAACATGCAATGCAACACACACTGCTTTCGTGTGGCGGTCGCTGGCATGAGCGCTTCAACCCTCCCTGAACCTCCAAACGCTGGCTTCCATCAAAAACCCTCAAGCGCGCTGATGACAACATGCGATGCACAAGCAACTGTTTTCGTGTGGTGGTCGCCGACGTGTGCGCTCCAACCCTCCCTGAACCTCCCCGAACCATTCGTAGATCGCACGCGGAATACTAAGCTCAAGCTCGAGCAGCGTCACTACAGCGCAACAAACACTGCAATGCAACACAAGCTGAAATGCAACAAACCTGCAATACTACAAACATGCAAGTCCAAAAAACCGTTATCGTGCTGGCGTCGGCGATATGTGCGCTTCAAATATCCCTGAGCCTCCCCAAACCACGCTTGTTTCCCGCGCGGAATACTGAACTCAAGCTCAAGCAGCTAAGGTGAAGCTCAAGTCTCAAGCTTCAAGCCTGCTCTTCAGAAGCTTGGCGTCCCGCCGTGCGCTACGACGGCTGAGAGCTTCATAGGCTGATCACTTCGAGTTCCGAGGGGCATATCCCAAACTTGGGTGGTGGGATGGTGATCGGGATGGGGCCACAATGGGGAGGTGGGCGCGCATGAGCGACGACGACAACGACGACGACGACGACGGGACATGGATCGGTCAAACGATACTGAGCATCAGCGAAGACTCTCGAACGGCTGAGCGCGGCCCTCTTGGGGCGAGGCTGCATGCCTTCCCCGCGCTCCCCTCCCCGGCGCGCCCTGCGCGCCGGCGGCGGCGCCGAGGGCGCGAAGCCCCGACACACCAGGTTCGCGCAGACATCCTCCGATGGGATTGTTTTCATCCGCGGCCCCAGAACTCCGGACTCCTTCACCAGGAACAGGTTTCCACCCTGGCTCCGTTGTTGATGGCCCCAGGCGTCGATGACGCGCCAAGCAAAAACGCCCGGATTGAAGCATTCATAGCCTCGGAGATCTGGGTCCACGCGGACCTCCGAAAGTCTGCGACGCTTAACTGCCCCGATTCGCGAAACGCAGCCATTGGCGCGTAGAAGCGGAGCTGAACGCGCAGATTGAAGACGCATGTCTGGCGCGATCCGTCTGCCAAAGCGTGGGCCAACGCGTTGAGCCAACATGCAACGTGTTAGCACGGACGCTTTGAGCACGGTACGTGCTGCGCCGCGCGTACACCCTGCGAAATGCTTAAGAAATCATGGGTTAAGAAATTCATAGTCTCAGAACTTGAATAAAAACCCAACGTTTCTATTAAAAGCTTAAGATTTACATTGAAACGTTAAGAATAATCGAGATCCTGGCCAAAAAGTTAAGTTTTCTTAAGCATCGCCTAAGGTGTATCATGGCAACTGTTTTGGACGTCCGAAATGGGTACGGAAACCGATGGGCACAATGCCCAACAACAAATGTCCCAAACCAGCAGCGGCCGCTGTTGGGCAGGCGGCCTCCTGCCTCAAGTGGACACGGGCCGCGGCGGCGCGGACAGCGAGGCCTGTTCAAAAGGAACAGGAACTGCTGTTGGGCATCCAACACAGGGGGGTGCCTCCACAGGGGGAACAAGATCCTAGATTTCGGTGTTGGTGGCAATCTTTCGGCCACCTGGGAAGCTAGAAGATTATCACCATCGACGAGATCGGGATCTTCCTCCCTCGGCGGCGGCACGCCGCCGATATTGGTGCCGGTGTCAACCTCCAGGCCTGCGACATGTCGTTCGTGCCTAGCTGAGCTGCGCCTGCGCCATCGCGTTTGGCTCTCCTGCTTGCCCCGCACTCCCGCGGTCGACTTGTACCGTGCCAGAAGCCGCGCCTCCGCCTCGGGGCTGAGGATGGGCCTGTTTTCCACCACCATAAGTTGGAGGGGGAGGGGTCCTCCTCCTCCTCCTCCTCCTCCTCCTCCACCTCCTGCCCCCCCAACGTATGGTTGTGGTGGTGGTGAGAACAGGCCCATCAGCTGAACCGGCACCACTGGCCGTAGCCCACCTCCGGGTCCACGGGCCGCCGCTCCCGGCCGTAGGCCCCCGCGGGCGCCGCGGCTGGCTCCCCGCCCAGCTCCTCGCCCCTCGCGCGAGGCTGGGGCCCGTCCACCTCCGACGCCTGGGGAAGCGATCTCCGTCAGGAGACCGCTGGCCCCCTGGGCTCATGTCGAGCATGTCGCCTTACAGGCAGATGTGGGACGAAGAATAAAAACAAATACACCAAAAATACTCCGAAATGGTCAAACATAGTCGAAAAATCGTCCCCATACTATTCTTTTAACTATTGTTGAATATTCCTCCTGTGGAGGGATAGGCCCGACTTAACCCGGGGCAAACTTACACAAACATTGTGAAACTCTCGACGGTGAACGCCGATTTTTTGGACTGACGCTGGGGCCCCCCAGCGGCGCCTCCAGGCGCCGATCCAAGAAATCAGCGCGGACCTTGAACACAAGTGTTCGTTGAGAGGCGGGGAGTTATCCACATCCACCGCCTGGGAACCGACGTTCTGGGGACCAAGCGGGCGTTGGATCTGGGATACATGTTGGCCCCCAGGGGCCCGAACATGTCAACACCCACCACCCCTCGAGGTCATCAGAAATCGATCCTCCAGTCGGTAGCTGAATTCCCTCCTCGGATTTGGGCCAGTCTCCAATCGAGAAGACATGACGGTACTACCGCGGCTCCCTGGACCTCTCCCCCGCGCGGCGCGCTCCGGTCAGGATCTCGAGACGCATCTAGCCAGTGGCGGCGCGGGCAGGGAGGCGGCATCGCTGCAGCTTCTGACTCCCAAGGCCCCGGGGGGGGTGGGGGGATGTGGATTCACGAGCTCCCCTGTCAATAGCCTCCTCTTGTCCATCCCGAGTGATCGCTTCGACGTGATCCCAGGCCTCCAACGTTATGAAAAGTGCAAGCAACATCTCTATTTCGGCCGTGGGGCCTCTGCGGGCTCAGCCACAGCTCAGCTTCTGACCCCCAGAGCACCAGGGGGCGCTGGGGGCTCGAACATGTCCACATCCCCAGACCTCCGGCGCCCTGATTATCCGGGCAGCATGGCTGGACGGATGTTTCGGCCCCAAGACCGGTCATCCCGGGTCTTCATCCCCAGCGGTCCAGGGGGCCCGGCGAAGGCGCCGAAAGCTGCCGAACAGATGTGCCGTCCGCAGCGAGTTTCGAATAACGCGAGGGGGCCTGGAGCAAGGAGAAGATCGGTCCTGCACTTAGCGGGCCCTGGAAACGACAGGGCGTGGCTTCGACCGATTCCGCTTTGCATTCTGAAGCCCTGGTTCCAGCGCAAATTGCTTCCTGGTTCCGTCTCCGTTCTTGTTTCTGTTGGTCTCAGGCTCCGGTGAAGGGGCTATTTTGTCCTTTCAATGCTTCTGGTAATCACTGCTTTACCGTCTTTGCGCTCCAGAAGCACAGTTGCGTTGGAAGCGGCATCAAACAAAAAGAGCATACGACAACAACAGCATGAAACACAAACGGCATCAAACCAATACCTGCATTACAAAAAACAGAGACAAGTGCTCTGGAGCGGCATACAGCCATAATGGCCCTATTGCTTGTAGGGCCCTGGCGGGACCATGACCAAGGCTGAAACGCGGAAATGTCGTGTCAATCTTGGTCAGCGTCGATCTTGGTCAACGTCGTTTCGTGGATCATCCTCCCGAATCGGCGACGGCCGACATGGACCATGACCAAGATCGCATCGACAAAATCCCGCGACAGCTTGGTCATGGTCCCTGTGATTCAAGGGGCCCAGGGGTTTACACATAAATGGACAGCATCCCCATGATCCCCCATCCGTTCCGTACTTCCTGGATGCTCGTCTCCCCCTCCCCTTCCCTTCTTTTCAATAGCCCCCTGAAAAACGTAATCCTTTGTGTTCGTTTCTGTTCCCCCCTCCAAGGTGATTCTGGAGGCCTGGAAATAGGCACCGACACCAACACAGGGGGTTGCCTCAACAGGGGGAAGATGATCCTAGATTTCGGTGTTGGTGGTAATATCTTGGCCACCTTGGAAGCCATAACATCACCACCATCGCCGAAATCGGGATGTCCTTCCCTGGGTGGAGGAACACCGCCGAAAGCGGTGTTGGTGTCGACCTCCAGGCCTGCGACGCTTCTTCCCTCGAGATGTGGACGAACCCCAGCCTCGGACCTCGGGGCGGGGCGGCGGCCCTCGCGCCGGAGGGCTCGCCACAGGCGCCCCAGCAGGCGGCGCGGCAGCGACCGCCGGGGGCGCTCCTCGAGGGCGCCCCCGCCCGGAGGGCCCGGGCCTGCGCCCGCCTCTGCTCGGAGGAGGGCCGGCCGGGACAGCCCGAGATCTCCGACGACCCTCAAATCTCGACCAGGAGGTCGGCTACGGAATTGTACCGGGTAAAAGCCGCCGAGTCTACGACCGAATGTAAGATGCGCCGCTGATCTGCTGAACACGTGACGTGCTTTGCGCAGATCCGGCGGATAAACCAATTCTGGGGTGGATCAACTCTGTGGTCGACCTCCATTTCTTCTCACACCGGGCGTGTTCGCCGAGTGTCGAGCCCCGGCACCATCACATATTGATCCGGCAGAAAGATGGGATCTGTCCAGATTTGATGTATCGCGCAATGGTGCAAATTTCCTCGCAACGTCGGATCCCTAACGATGCGATCTCTCTCTCTCTCTCTCTGTGTTTTCTCCCCTAACGATTTTTACTCGATTTCAGCCCTGCTCGGCAGCCGCTCTCGGGCCCCGGCGCAGTCGAACATTGTCCCGGGACGAAATCCTACACTCAGGGAAGGGGTCGGGACCTCTGGACCGCGAACTGATAAAGCCAGATCGGCAGATGGCAAGGACGGCAGCTATCTTCGGCGTGTTTTTTTTTTGCTTTTTTCCTTGGGGGGCATATCATCCCCACGGCTGGGTCCGCGTCGAGAAATCGGGTGCGCCGACGGGGGGTGGGCCAAGAAGGGGAAGGGGGGAGTGCGCGTCGTGGCCCGAGGCGTGGGCGTGGCCGAGAGGTGTCAAAGGGGGCGTGGTGAAAGGAGGAGGGGGGGCCATAGACGCTGGCCCCGACCATGATATCCACACACACACGCACATATTTGTTTAAGTTGTCGCAGCCGCGCGCGCGGCAGGGAGGCGGGGTGACTCGCAAACGGCGGAAGAGGGCGCGCGAAACACACACAGACACAGACACGCACACACACACAAACACAAACACACACACAAACACACAAACACACAGACACACACTGACACACACACAGACACACACAGACACACACACAGACACACACACAGACACACACAGATACACACAGACACACACAGACACACACACACAGACACACACGCACGCACGCACGCACGCACGCACGCACACACAAACACACACATACACACGCACGCACGCACGCACGCACGCACGCACGCACGCACGCACGCATGCACACACACACACACACACGCACGCACGCACGCAAGCACGCACGCACGCACGCACGCACGCACACATACACATACACACACACGCACACACGCACACCACACACAAATACTCTCTCTCTCTCTCACGCACACGCACACGCACACGCACACGCACACGCACACACACACACACACGAACGCGGCCACGCACGCACGCACGCACGCGCGCACGCACACACGCACGCACGCACGCACATCTTTGTTGCGTCGGCGGCGGGGCAGAGTCACTGCGCTGGAGATGTAGCGTTGATGGGGCACACAAAACGCGAATTATGCCGCAACGCATTAAGCCGCAATCGCGGGGGAGGGGGGGGGACGCCAAGCGCGGGCAGGAGGAAAACGGAGACCGTGTCCGCTCAGAGCGGGGCCAGGCGGCGGCGGGGCAGCGCCGGACGCGGGGGCCAGCGGCAGCGGGGCAGCTGAGGGGGTAGGCGGCCCAAGCGGCCGCTGAAAGCAGACGCAGGGGGGGCAATGCCCAGCGCGGGCTGGAACGAAGGTAACGGGCAGCGGCGGTCCAATGGTGCCGAGGTCACACGTGACCTGCGAGGCGCCCGGGAGCGGCGGCAAGGGCGAAACCACCACTAAGGTTGGCCGAAGGATGGAGACGGGCAGCGAGAACCCACCAGACTGGGAACGGCGAGCGAAGCGCCCAGGGTTCCGAGGCTTGGAAGCGGAAAATTCACACTATTACTTTGAAGGAACTATTTGCTAAAGGAAAAACGCCTTTAAGTAAAGTGTTTTTGCTCTGTTGCGCGACGACCGCGGCGGCACATCCGAATTGCCGAGCCACGTCCTGCGCTCGCGCCCTTAATCTGCTGTCAAGGAGCATCTAGAACTCGTTGCAAACATGTCCAAGGGTCGCTGCGACCCGATGCAACGCGACCGTGGCTACTCGAGCAAATGCATCGCGGCGTGAACTGGCAATAGAGACAAGGGCCCCCCGCCCCCCGACCGGGCCCTGGCCCCGCATCACCACCGCGTCCCCAAGGCTGTACAAAAGCAGACCGCGGACTGTACTGGAGCGAGGAAACGGCTTCACTGAATCGAGGAAACGGCTCTACTCAAACGAAGAAACGGCAATGCTAAAGCGAGGAAGCGGCTTTAGTAATGGCGCGCAGCTCAATACATTCCGAGAAACGACGTTTTACTAAAGCGAAAAGAGAGCTTTAGTAAAGCGGAGGGACGGCTGGGGTAAAACTGCACGCAAAAATTTTGCTCTTCCCATAAAACAAGGCGCGGGGGTCCAGGAGCGAGGGCGAGGCGCAAGTTCGCCCGTGGGCCCGGGCCCCGCCGCCGCCGTCGCCGCGATGTTCGTCGTCGCCGCCGTCGCTGTTGCCGCCGTCGTCGTCACCGTCGGCGCTGGCGCCGCCGTCGTCGTCGCCGTCGCCGTCGCCGTCGTCGTCGCCGCGACGCCCGCGCATTCACGTTATTACCAGCCGTGGGTCGCGCGCGACCGCGCGCGCTACTGCGCTCGCATTTCCGCTCGTCCGACGGAGGCCCATGCGGACATCATGTTACCTACCTAGGCTCTGCCTAGAAGAGTTCTTACTCGGTATGCTTAAAGGGCCGGGCAGTGCAACTCGCCCAGGGCGGTTCCCCCAGTATCCGCCCCGCGGTTCCCCCCAATCACGTCCTCTTAGTTTAGCGTTGCTTATCTCATCTGAGCTTAGCCGAGCTTAACTTAGCTTAGCTTAACTTAGCTTAGCCTCGCCTAGCTTAGCGTAGTGGAGCTTGGCTTAGTTTAGCTTAACCAAGCCTAGCTTAGCTTAGCTTAGCTTAGCTTGCTTTAACTTAGCTTAGCTTAGCCTAGCCTAGCTTAGTTTAGCTTAGCTTACCTTACCTTAGCTTACCTTAGCTTAGCGCAGCAAAACGCAGCGCAGCATTAGCACAGCATAGCATGGCATAGCATAGCCAAGCAAAGCATAGCATAGCACAGCTCAGCTCAGCATAGCATAGCGCAGCATAACATAGCATAGCATAGCATAGCATAGCATTGCATAGCACTGCTTAGCATAACACAGCGCAGCATAGCATAGCATAGCACAATATATCATAGCGCAGCAAAGCATAGCATAGCATAGCGCAGCATAGCTTATCATACCATTGCTTATCATAGCGTAACATAGCGCAGCATAGCATAGCATAGCATAGCATAGCATAGGACTTGGAGCCGAATATCCTTGCTCAACCTTGCTCAATGCCAAGTCGTGCGGTGTAGACCGGATACGGAGCATTCTCAAGCACACCCGGTGAGCGAATGCGAGAACATGCGTGTGTGTGTGTGTGTCTGTGCGCAGGCAAAGGAAAAACAAAATCAAGCAAAAACAAAAACAACAGCAAAGCAAACGCAACAGCAAACGCAAAGCAAAGGCAAGACAATGCAAAGCAAAAACACAACCAATGTGAAAGTGTAGATGTAGATGTAGGTGTAGGTGTAGATGTGGATGTAGGTGTAGATGTAGATGCAGCTGTAGGTGTAGATGTAGGTGTAGACGTAGATGTGAGTCTCGCTGTTGATGTTGATGTAGATGTAGATGCAGGTGTAGATGTTAATGTAGCTGTCGGTGTAGATGTAGAAGTTGCTTTCCTAGATGCTCCAACTCCTAGGTAGGGTCGCACTGGGATATTTGTTTCCCCCTCACAACTCGTTTAAAGTAAGAGTGGGAACAATACTCCTCTGACAGGCCGCGACTGGCCTGCGAGGCAGCCCAGGACCGTCCAGCCAAGGCCAACCCAGGGGAGGAGGCCAGCAGGGAAAGGGCAGGAGCCCAGGCACTGCGCCGTCACGAACGGTGGGGAGAAAAAAAGTTACGAGGGTGCCGAGGTCACGCGTCACCTACGAGGCTACCTGGGACGGAGCAGCCACCTCGAGGTGAGGGGCAGGGAGGGGGACGTAGCGCAAGGTGGCGCCGAGATAACCTAGCCCCGCTGGAGCTGACCCGAAGGGTGCGAACCAAAAGGGCTGTAGGTGCCGAGGTCACGGGTGACTTACTAGGCAGCCAAGACGCACCGAGCGGAGCCCGCCGGAGAGGTGAGGGCTGGCCTGAAAACCAGGCGAGGCGGAAGTGCGAAAGGGGCAGCGGTCCCGCACTGAGAGACGGAGGCGGTGGGCGGGGCGGCCCAAAACCAAAAACCTGCAGAAGGCCTGCGCGTCAAACTCTGCGGGCGGGCGCGCGAAGTTGAAGCTGCGGCGGGGGCAGGGGCCTCCGTCCAGGAGTGACAGGGCGGTGCCGGGCGAGTGCAGCAGGCACGGGCCCCACGCGCAGGGCGTGGACGCAAAGAAGGGAAACTGGGAGGCGGATGCCAAAGGGCGGCAAGACCAGCCCAAATCGGCGACGGGGCCTGGGCGGTCCCCACAAGAGCGGGGGCGAGGGCGCCGACCCCAAGGATGCAGGAGGACTCAGTAGACGATCGCCGCACACACGCACACACGCAAACACGCACTCACACACACATAAGCACGCACGCACACATGAACACACGCACGCATGCACGCACGCACCCACGCACGCACGCAGGCACGCACGCACGCAGGCACGCACGCACGCACGCACGCACGCGCGCACACACACACAGACTTACACACGCACGCACGCACGCGCGCGCAAACGCACACACACACACACACACACACGCATACACACACGTACACACACACGCAGGAACACCCACGCACGCCCGCCCGCACACCCGCACGCACAAACGCACAAACGCATACACGCACGCACACACCCGCACGCATGCAGGCACACAAGCACACGCACACACAGACACACACACACACACACACACACACGCGCACATACGCAGACACGCACGCACGCAAGCACACACACACACACACACTCACACCTACACACGCACGCACGCACGCACGCACACACGCACGCGCGCGCGTGCACAAACGCACACACGAACGCACAC